TTAATTGATACTGGAATTGAATAATGAAGTCGTTTAATTGGCTAACCACTATCGTTAATACGTAGAAATGATTATTCTTGACGAACATTTCATCCATTAAACAATTTATATCCACTCGAATTATCCTAATATTTTAAACTTTAAATTTTTGATGCATTTAAAATTCATGCGTCATCAAATTATCTAAATTGAAATTTTCTCATCTTACAATAGATGATGATAATTGCCGCATTTTGGGTATATGCCGTACTAAATAAAACTTTGAACTCCTTTAAATTTCATATGCTTTAAAATTGTCACATCATGATTGTAACTAATTATTAACATAAATTTTTTTTCAACAATTTGAAAAAATAAACGAGCATTTGTTTTTCATTCCCGTTCCTCATCGCTTATTTTTTGTTCAAACAAACAGTAATTTTTCGATAATTTTTATGATATGATTATAATAATTAAAAGATTTTAGCATCGGATATTAATTAAATCAACTGCTTGAAAAAATCCAAAATTACACTAAGATTAAGCATTAAAATTGTTTATTAGAACGAAAAAAAAATTTCTAGGAATGAAAAAAAAGGAGAAAATACAAAAAGAATTGAACATTTTATTTCTTATATATTTTAACTTAATTATCAACCTTTTTTACATTCTATTTCTAATTTAATTGTGAATCTTTTTTTTATATTCCATTTCTAATTCAATTACCAACCATTCTTACATTCTATTTTTAATTTAATTATCAACCTTCTTTACACTTTATTTTTAATTAAATTATCAACTTTTTTTACACTCTATTTTTAATTTAATCAGCAATCTTTTTTACATTTTAGATAATAACCGATTATATTTATTGCCTGATTGAGACGAATCGTACATGTCGCGGTAATCTTAAATATCACACATTGCAAACTTTGCTTCACCGACAACGTCGCGAATTCTCATGCAGTTCATTCCCGGAAACGATGAAGCCCAGTAATTATGTACCCATTGGGTGATTAGCAATTTTCTTTTTCAGATTTCAAAATATTAAAATTCAAAAGAAAACAAACAAACAAATAAATGTTGGATAATTTTGACATGAATGATGATTTGTGCAATTTATTTTTATAGTTATTTTATTTGTTCATGTTTGGTATGTTAGTTTAGATGGATTCGATTATTTTTTTTATATCAAAAAATTTAATAACTAAATAATTTTATTTTGATAGAATTTTTGTAATGTTTAAAAAGTTTTGATAACTCATTTTAATGCTGCTAACAGCTTGAAAACTGCAAAAATCAGTAAATACTGCAAAATATTGAATTGTAACATTTGCATTGCACATTTTTTTATACGAATTTTCTGAAAATTTAATTGCAGATGTGCATTTCCGATTGATACTGCTCCGAACGCAATGCAACGTTATTGTGCGCTTTTTGGATCGCGACATTTGCGCACACTAAATGGACATTTTGTAACATGCGCCCATAGTGGTGCTTATCCATTGATAAACAACAAACATTTGCTAATACAAATTACTCATTCATTCCTTGGGAGTGCTACCACTGCTATTTCTAAAGTATATACATAATTCACAATTTTCAAATGAACTCTAAAAAAACAAAATTATTATCCATTGATGAAAAATTAAAATAAATAGCCATAATGGAAAAGCTTTTTTTTTTAAAAAAAATGGATTATTTTATTTGAAGATTAAATTATAAGAGAAATTTTTGTTCAAAATAATATATCATATAGAATTGCAATACCTTAATATTTCGCTACACTTACTTAGATATTATAAGTACCGTAGAAATGGTACATTAAATTAATACAGCATAATTATTTTACAAAATTTTTTTTTATAGTATACTTATGTTTTTATTGCATTTTTTATACTGTACTTTTTATACTATACTTAGTGCTATATTTATGCTCATCGTTTATTTTAGTTTTAAAAATAATATGCAAAGAATGCTGTACGAAATGGTAAATATTTAAGTATCGATTAGCATCATCTGATAAAGATGAAATAAATTAATTCCATACAATATGCCTCTTATCAAGTATAAAACGCTTACATTCAGTTACATATTAAATTAAAATAACTACATATTAAATTAAAATAATCAATTTGAAGTATTCAACAATTACAATAATAATTTATTTTAAGAGAGAGTTAAATGTAATAATATTAAAAAACTATTCTGAGAGATTATCAATAATACTTAAACGGTTTTTTTTTTCAGATTACTGTAATAGTAAAAGAAAATGAACGTTGTACATCACGTAAACAATATGAAGTAGGATCAGAAGATGAGGAATTACCAAATTCGTTTACGGATGGTAGCATATTTGTTGGTAATTCAGGACGAAAAGCGGTCGAAATTAAATTATTAAATCGAACTTATGTTGAAATTATGTTACGCTATATAGCCACAACGATTTATATTCGACGACATGGTGCATATTTGTCGGTTGCATTGAGGATACCTGAACGAATCGTCCAGGTAATTTTACATTTCTGTAACTATTTTATGGTTTACATATATAGTAATGAAATTACATTATGGTATGTATGCATAAATATATCGTATAATTATATTATAGACATATATATGATTGTGTTTATTATGTTATTTTTTAATTCTTTTATCGTTTATTCCAAATATTATCATTACAATAAATCTTTTTTCATTTGTATTTTTTTGACAAATTAATAAAATTAGTACATCGTTTTTTTCTCGAAAACAAATAATAATTTAATTCATTTATTATATAAGTAATGGTATGTCATACGTGTGAAATACAGCAAAAATAAAATGATACAGATAAATTTGAGCATTTTAATTTTTGTTTCATTTTTGCCTTCTTAAATATTTAGATTTTTTAAAATCTTAAAGATTAAAAGAAATAAAAAAGGTTTTTTTTTTTATAATCATTTCACTAAAATTAGTTGTTTTAGGAGCAAACAGATAATGAATTTGACATTTGTACATCGGGTTGTAGTCGTAGTGATATGGTGAAACTCGAAGAAGCATTAGCGAATCCAATTTCATTTACCAGATGTCATGGAGTTCACGTGAAAATCCCTTTAAAAATTGCAATTGGTAAGTAATTGAAATTTTTCTTTTTCAAATTTTATTAAATTTTGTTAACATTTTCACATTTAAGTAGAAATTTCTTTTATTGAACATGAAAATTTAATTATTTACAGAATTATTTAAATTTCAATGCTAAATCAAATTATCAAATTTTCTTTTCCAATAAATATATTAATTCTATTAAAATATTCAAGCAATACTAATCTATCTTTTTTTGTTTGCTCAAATATTGCACTACTGTTTAAATTTTAACTACATATATAAGTATCTTAATTACTGTACTTTGTTTTGACGTTGAAATTTAAAAGTATAATTAAAATTTAAAGAATGAAGTTTTATATTAATCTTCTCAGTCACCTTTTGAGTTTGCTCGATTATTTTAGATTTAGTTGGAATGGATCATTTAAACATTGCTTTTAATTTCAATACAATCATTGAAATTATTTCATTCATCCGATAAATTTCATTTATTGGTAAATTTATACAATTACAGAGCGATGCAGTCGTGCAAACATAACAGATGCATTTTTTGATGCATGCGTTTTTGATTTTCTAATTAGTGGCGATGAAATGTTTATTGCGCAAATTGCTGATGCGCAATATGACATTATCAATTTATACTCACCCTATATACGTCATTATTTTACGGGTAGACAAAATTTGACGTTATACGATTCGAAAGCTGGCTATAAATGGAAGCAATGTACCCGAGAATCATCCCTCAATTTGGAGGAACAAATATCCGGTTCAACAAATTTGCAACAACAATGCAACATAAATGGATTAGTAACATTATTGCTCTTTTTCATTATATTTACATACAAGATTTAATAAATGTTTTAATTTATTTATATTTGTAAAAACAAATTCATTCATTTTTTATTTCTGTTTTTTTTTTCCTCCAAATGTTAAAATAATTCTACCTTTTCATGATGTATCTATTATCTTAACAAAAGAAAAACAGAGAAAAAAGCTCAAAAAAAATATATTTAATTTTGTTATATACAAATTCTTTTCATATAAAAATAAAAGAACTATTGATCGAGTATTTGATTAATAAATTGTGTTGCCACAAACGTTGACTGATCAATTGATTAATTGATTGATTAGGAGTTGGCATGAAAATGCAATCATTAATTGATGTTTATATCTAAAAATTGTGCCTTTTTTCTTTTTTCGTTTTTTTTTCCGTTGGTTAAAATTCTATTAATGATTTCTGTTATGGGATAGGATAGAAATAGAAAAATAAAGTTTTTTTTTCCCCTATCATCCATTAAATTTCAAATTTATGCACAATCTTCGCTATGCAGCAGTAGTGAATTTTTTCATGCTATGCATTCTCCCTCACGTAATTTATAATTTTTCTCGAGAAAAAAACAAGCAAACAATGAACGAATTAATTCATTTGTAAATATATATCATATCATGGTATATTATATTACCAACACTTTAATAGTAGTCAAAAATTTATGTAGAATTTTATTTTATTTTTTTGCATATGCGTTTGAAAATAACTCAGTCAAGAATAAGTGAAGTTTTCTCAACTATATTTTAGCACAAAATGAATTTGGAAATCAAAATAATACAATAATGCTCCTCCAATTAATTTATTATTATTCCGATAATATTAATTAAAATGTAAACGTTTATGTGACTAGCATTATAAATCTTTATAAGAATATTGTGAATACCTAAAGGTAATTCTTCATATACCTATTCCATGATCAATATTAGTACAGTGATAGTAAAAAGGAGAAATAAAAATGATAAAGTAATTCAAATTAAGGATAAATTACTGCAAACATCATTAGGTAATGTAAGACAATATTGTTTGTCATCTTTAATGTTAGCATTTTTTCTTTCATATCGAACTTAGCAAATCGAATTTAAATTTTCTTGTAAAAATAAAAGTGTGCTAAAATTTCAATCAAAAATGATTCAATTAATTAAGCATATATCCTGTATAATTAATATCATTATTAGAAATTTGGTGACTACCTCGAAATAAATTTTTTTTTGAAAAAAAGAAATCAAATACAAATTTAAACATTCTATTACGACTTTTTGCGACCGATTATTGGTAATCATTATTATTTTGTTTTTTTTTTCATTTTTGAAAGTATCAACTTTGAAATATTTTTTTACAGAAAGTTAGTAATAAAGAATTTTAGCTAAATTATAATTGCAACCAAAGTTAACTTGCAAAATGGGAACTATTTAGTTGTTTGCTGTAATTACAAAGTAATTTAAAATTACAATAATTTATCGATTTTCAATAAAGCTTCACTAGTCAGAAATATGATAACTTTGTTTAACTGCTTAATATTTGTAGAAAAATATTGCGAAGTAATTGAAGAAAAATTCACAAACATAATTAATTGTCGGCATCATCATCATTAACAATTCCTTTTATTATCTCTATGATAAATACTATGATAGCATTGTTGTTACTTAAATAAGACGAATGACACTATTACCTCAATAACATTTCTCATATCCTTTTTTCTTTCACATTGTAAAACAAAAATTTTAATCAATCGATCGATCGTCTTACGAACGAGATCTCATCGAATGTGATATTTTTCTTTTTCAAAAAATTTTCACCATTTCATTTTTGTTTCATTTTGTTGTTTGATTGTTTTTGCATCTATGCAAAGGAATAATATAAGTTAAAAAAATTAATTTAATAATTATTCCTTTGATTAAATTTTGTTTTTCCCATTGTTTTATCTCATGTGATTTGTTTTTGTGTATAATATGGCAAGATTGTATGTGATTTCGAACGAAGTTTACAATTTTTTCTTGTATCAATAAACGAATAATTAAGGAAATGTGCACAGGAAAAGAATTCGTTTTGGAAACTGTGAAAATTAAATAATTTTCAACTTTTAACTTGAAAGATTTGAAATTTAATTGTTAAATTTTATGCACTTTTACTTGTTAAAAAATGAAGCAAACCAAAATGCAGAAAAACGGAGGAGAAAATTCAATGAATCATTTCATCTGATCCGATGAAATATGCTTAATGATGCTTACAACATCGTTCATCATTGGAATCGTTAATTCTCTTGGAAGCAAATCGCTTCTAATAAAATTTAAAATCCGCTAATGCTTTCGATAAATATTCTGAACCTAAATAATAATTCAAAAGATATCGGAAATGACTAATGACATCGAAATAGAGGTTATCGTTAAAGATAACTCCAACAGAATGCAAAACTGGCATTATATAACTACCAAGACAATATTTATTCATATATACACCAATCTAGCAGAAATTGAAATCAGAATTTGTCAATGTTAAAGATGAGAGAAAGTAATAATTATTCGTTTATTGAAATATTTTTACATATCTTTGCATATTACGCGGTTAATAAATGAATAAAACTTCCAGAAAACATTGTCAATGAGAATTTATTGAACAGTAATTATTCATTTACTTAAATATTATATATACATCATGTTAGCTATTGCTTTAATATTGAAAATAATAATTTGTTTGTTCTCTTGCAGAAAAATTTTTGCAAATAAATTTCTTGATAATTCCTGTTTATCTTTCCCTTTTTTTTTCAATCTTCCTCCCGATTTCTGATTCATTTACACTTCTTCTACCAAATCTTACATGCATATCACTTTGTGAAATTTAAAGTTATCGAAATATGACTTATTTCATATAAGTGAAAAAAAAACATTAATTAATGGAGTCAATTACTGTTCCATTTAAGAATATTTTATACAAAATTTGGAAAAGACCCCCTGTTACTGTATTGCAATAATATATGCGTATAACAGTAGTATATTTTATTACAGTAATACAGTAATATATTACAGTAATACATATTTATTTTGCATATGTTACTGTATTACAGTAATATATGCGAGACAAAATTTATATTTGTACTGAACGGAAATGACCAAATCGCCTTTAATCTATTATTATCAGCTTTTTTGCTTCCTTTGTTTCACATCACATTCAAAATGTTTACTTCTATGCTTCTGGAAAATTTTCCTTCATTCAAAGCAATAATGATTGTATATATTTTGATATAAATTGTATCAATAATACAGTATCCGTGAAATTTGAATTACTGTCTATATAGTGTTAACTTTTACGGTTGAAATTAACTTGATCCAAATTGATCATTTACGGTATTTTAAAGGAAAGACAGCACCGAAAAATGTAAGCGAGAAGATGATCAAACAAATTATTGCACCGGCAATTGCACCAACAATCAAAATCATTTGCGTTGTTTTTCCTGAAATTAGAGATATTAAATACTGAAAGATATGAGAATTAGGCGGTACACCATTGTTTAGCCCAGTCCGCTCCTTGTCTTTTTTTATTACTAGAAATTTAACTTTGAAAAACTTGCTGGCAAAGGTTATTACTTTAATCATTTGCATGACAATAATCGCAAAGTTACTGTATCAAATATTTGAGCATTTCCATGACAAGTTTTAATATTTTATTTACTTAACAGTGATCTAAAAGTTATAGAGTTCAAATAGTCGGGAATTCCTATAACAGATCCTGATGGAAAATTCTTTAAAACAAAAAAAAAAAAACTTGATGATATATTGAGGAAGAAATTGTTGAAAAAGTAATATGATAATAAAAAGATGGGAGATATAATTAAGGATGTAGGAATTTCGAAGAAATTAGATTTCATTAAATAATTTAAAAAAATTCAAACAAACCTTTAGTATATGAGGATTTCGATTTCATTCCATTTACTTGCCCTATAATTTGAGTTATTACAAAATTGAAATCATAATGTAAATCAAATTTCTATTTTTAGCCTGCTATTTTGTAATGGTTGATAAATTTTTTCATTCAATTTCATTTTGTTTTTTTAATGATATTTTTTTCACATGTGCTAACAGCAAAAAGAAAACGAAATTAAACCTAAAATTTTTTCTAATAAATAATCACCTATAAAATTTAAAGATTTTTTTAGCTAATTAGATTCAATTAGTTCAGTTTAACTTTCATCGAGAAAATTTTTATTTTGGAAAAAGTTAAAAATAGATGATTTGAAATTGCTATAAATAATCATAGTAAATTGCTATAAATAATCACAGTTTTTAAGCAATAAAGTAATTTTTGTTTTTCATGTTATTCATAATCAGATAAATTTAAAAAAAAAACATTTCATCTGTATAGTAAGTGATAGATGGTAAATGGAAATGAACATCTAAATACTTGATTATCAATCATTATTAGTTAATTCATGCAGAATTTAATGATTGAATCGATTTGCTTATTTTAAAATGTTTAAAAGTGATTTTAAAAAATAAGGCGTCTTTTTTTTCATTATTTTAATGATGCTATAAATAACATCGTTTATTATTATTATTGTTATTGTTATTATTATCATATATGTTTTAGGAATAAAACCTTGTTTGAATTCAATTAAATTTGAAAGTAAAATCAATTGATCAAGCAACAGTGCTTTAATTATTAATTGTTTTGTAACTGAAAAATGTTCATGCAGCAAACAATTTTGGTTATGTTAAAAATTTCATAAACAATAATTGTTCTAATTTAGATGGGATCATTGAAATAATTTAGCTCCGAATTATCTGATGAAATTACTGAACAGTTTTAAATTACTTAGTAAAGATAGTGTTGTTGTATTATACTGTGAAATATTTCCAATCATGGTATTTGTTGTCATTGCCTTCATCGGCATTGTCCTGGTATCCATCGCTGTCTTCATTATCGTCAACATTGTCGCAGTACGCGTTGCTGTCATCATCGCTGACATTGTCGTAGTGTTTATTGCTGTCGTCATCATTGTTAACATTGTCGTCGTGCTTGCCAATGTCATCGCTATCGTTACATTTTTATTTTTCCGTTTGGTAAATCGAATATTCTCATTTTTTTGTGGAGTAAATCCAACATTCGCATTTTTCCGTGGATTAGATCGAATATTCTCATTTTTCCGTGGAGGAAATCGAACATTTTCTTTTTTCCGTGCATTAAAACGTGATACTTCTGACAATTCACCTGGAAAGTTTATTGTAATGGCATATAAAACTGAAAATCCTTAATTTATATAAATTTAAATTGAAACTATGAATTTATAATGAGCAAAGAAAAAGAAAACGTAGAAAAGTAAAACGAACATAATGAGAAAAGTAACAATGAAACAATTTTTTAAATGGCATAGAAAAAAATTTATAAATTACTTAGAGAAAACGAAAGAGAAAGAAAGAGGAAGAGAGAGAGAGAGAGAGAGAGAGAGAGAGAGAGAGAGAGAGAGAGAGAGAGAGCAAAAAGTTAAAAGGTTCAAAACAATAATAACAGTCGGAATACGTTGTTTTGCACAATAAACTGTTAGAATTAATATAATCGGGATGATATGACCATTTGATCTCATCATACAAACTGAAATAAACTAAACTGAATTTTTTTTTAATTTTATAATTTTGAAAAACTGAAATGAAATTTTAATAGAGCTTCATTTAACGAAATTTCGAGTGTTTGTCATTTTTTGGCAAATATGGTATTTAGATTATTTTCAATTTTTATGCAATTATTCAAATTTTGGTCTAATAAATTATATATTTTAACTAAAATTAATTATAAATTGTGTTCATAAATACGGTCAATTGTTAAACATAATTCATTTTACCGATTTGGAAATAAAAAGAGAAAAGCTCTTCTAATCTATCAGTAGCAATTGCAATCATAACAAATCATATAGCAATTTTTTCAGAATGAAAAAAAAAGTAAAAAACAAATGACATAACAAAATAATTCCACATATCATCGGCTAAAACATAACCGAAAAAAATCTAAAATTAAAATAATAGCTTATCTATTTTTTTCTATTTCGAATATTTCAATCCGAAAAAGCTTTTTAATTTCTTAAGTTTTCAGATTATTTACGTTATAATTAATAATTGGAAATAGAAATTTGCAGAAAAAAACTGGCGCCGATATGTGGTGCAAAAATTACGGGAAGAAAAAAAATTAAGTCCATCTTTTGTACCGGATTAGTATTCTCCCGATTTTTCCCGATCATTTTTAATTTGATAGATATCATTGATTTATGCATTTTCTTTAGAATGTGATTTTTCCTATTTTGTGCTGTGGTGATAGGTAAGAAATGATAGGTAAAATAAATACTAATACTTTCTGTAATCTTATAATATCACTTTGCTAGAAGCATAATTCATCAATTTGAAAAACCAAAATATTTGTTTTGAAAAATTATTTATTGACTAGAATTTAATTTTAACAATATTATTTGATTAAATTTCTTGCATTATCATTTATTTAGTTTAATTACTAACTTTGCCAATAATAAAGTGGATAAATTTTAAATTAACTGATGAATTTTTTTTACTAATTAATTAGCTTCTAAATTTTTCAAAGAATGAAATTTTTTTCTATCTTCTTAGACTATTGATTGGAATGTTACAAGAGGAAAAGGGACGAAAAGTGGATGATGCTATTCATGAACTTCATGTACTGTATATGAAGTACGGTAACTATAAATTTTTAGCATTGAAAATTTTAGTCTTTCGAATATTTCAAATATTTATATTAAAAAAAGAAGAAAAAAAAGTAATTTGAATTTTGAAAAATTTTGATTTTTTCGTAAATTTAAACACCTTCAAAATTTTGCTATCATTTGAATAAATTACCAATTTTTGCAAAAATTTTTATTCATTCTTGCAGAAATAAAGTTAAATTCATTGTTTGAATTTGTATTTAATGATATAATATTGGAGGTAGATAGAAATAATTGAAACTTATCGATCATTAATTGGCTGATAGTAATGAAATTTATTAAACCTGATATTAAGTAAAGATATATAAAATATTTGAAGAAACAATAATTTGTTACTTTCTCTCATCTCCATTCTAATTTCTGTTAGATTGCTGAGTATATAAATAAAGTATTTTCAGTATTAGCTTGATAATTGTATAATGACAGATTTGTATTCTGCTGAAATTATTTTTAACGATAACCTTTATTTCGATGTTATTATTCATTTCTAATGTCTTTTGAATTATTATTTAAGTTTAGAATATTTAATGGAAAGCGTTAGCTGATTCTGAATTCTATCAGAGGCGATTTGCTTCTGAGAGAATTAACGATTCCCACGGTAAACGATGATTGTTCGCATCATTTAGCATATTTCATCGAATCAGATCAAAAAATGATTCATAGAATCTTCCTAACTCTTTTTTTCCCTCATCCAAAATTTTTATTATTCTTCGACAAATAAAAATATACGAAATTTGACAATTCTCTCATACAATTATTTCTTTTTTCTCAAATTAGCATCTCAAATCTTTTAGGTTAAACTTCGTTGGTAATATTTCCAATTTTTACAATACTAAAAATGAATTATTTTTCTCTACACGCATATTCAACTTCCTCCATTTATTTTTTTTATGCGAAAGGAAAATTTTAAACTTTACTCGGAATTACATACAAATTTTTTGCAATGAAAAAAGAAAGTTATAAACATATGAATTTTTGTAGGACTAAACAATTGTTATGAAGTGAAATAAAAAGTAATTTGAAAGTAATTGAACAAAATGAATAGATAAATATTTGATTTTTCTTCTTTTCTAAATTTAGTTCACTTTTTTGCTAAAATTAAAGATATTTTTCATTGGATGATCCATGGCAGCCAATACCGAATCGTGCAACTGAACGAGTTGAATTACTTCGACATATGGCAGTTGCAATTGATGAAATTTTGAATGCTGAAGAAAGGCCTAATTGGCTACATCCAGCAATGTTTCATGGACCATTAACATCAGCAATTTGCTCTGTAAGTTAATTGTAAACTTTGTGAAGTAAAAATTTTTATTTGTTTCTAGCGCTAATATATATAAAAATTTATAAAAATCTTTAAATATTTCGAATTATTTTGTAAATTTTTTATTGTGACAAAAAAAAAGAATGGAAAGTAAAAAAAAAATGTATTTAAGTTTTCTTTTCTCATTTTCATCAAACAATTTTAACAAATTAATGCATGTTGTTGTATCGTTGTTGTCAGTTTTTCATTTTCTGAATGATAACTGAAATAAATGTTAGCATAAATTAACATGCTGTTAATTACTCTTTCTTTATTTCATTAAAATAAATTTTGCCTCATTTCTGCTTTCTTTGTTCTTACACTTATATATTTTGGCTCATCAAAATTTGAATCCAAAATTGTAATTGAATTCATAATTCAAAAACTGCTCCATTTGCTTTCACTTTTTTCAATCTGAATGTAATTTTTTTGTCTAATTCAATTTCAAATTTAAATTCAAAATTAATGCTGTTATTTTATTCTATTCCTCTTGTTTTTTCAATATTTTTTATTTCTTCTAGTTACCACCAAATCCTGCTAATGATGCATTATTAATGCCACCAACAACTGATCCACGTGAAGTATATTGGTCAAAATTTAGCATTTGCAATCATTCACGACCTTTAGAGAGAAAACCGTTCATCGTTTCACTCCAATATCATCCACCATATCCATTAGATACCTCACAAAATAATCTCAACTTATCATCATCTACATCTCTCAATATTGACGAATTAATCATTCCTGTCCGAAAATGCACCCTACCACGTATAGGTGCTTTACCGAACAACAAATTCCGTGACGCGTAAGTTTGCATTTAGCTTCGCTGTATTTGGAAAATTTTAATTTGCTGATTTATTTTTTAATTTCAACAAAAATTTCAATACTTATAAGACATGTGAATCAAAGAAAAAGATAATAATAATATACAGTATTTCTAAATAAAAATTTCGTTAAATTTTTAACAATACATTCTTTCATTTACATATCTTATAAATATTAAAATTTATATTTATCATTGATTTTTAGTTATGCAAATTTTTAAGTTAATGAAATTTTTTAAAAGTGATGCACTAAATATATGAATAATATGCTATAGTGAAAATATGGAAATTTAGGTATACTATATGTTATTATTGTTACTATCATTTTAAATGAATACTTTCTATTTCAGGCAGCAAATTCAAATTGAATATTTTGTGGGTAAAATTTTACACGTACGCGGTCTACAATTTAATCGTACCAATGATGAAAATAAACCAAAAGAATACCTTTATCAATTACCTTCAACCACTCATCCAATCTATGAATGAATGATTATAGGAAGCAAATTTATTATAATTTTTTTCAACTTTTCCATCTTTTATTTCTATCATTGCAATTTCACAATGACATTTCACCACTTTTACATATTTATTATATTTAATGATATTTTACAATT